GACGCAACGTCGGGTCATGAAAGGCTCAGCTTTCTAGATGCATTTTTGGGGTATCATCAAATTTCAATGGCCGAGTCTGATCAAGAGAAGACGTCATTTATCACGGACTTCGGCACGTACTGTTACACAGCCATGCCATTTGATTTGAAAAACGCAGGAGCAACAGATCAGAGGATGGTGAACAAGTCTTTCGTGGGCTAATCGGAGGTGTCGTAGAAGTCTATGTTGACGATATGGTGGTCAAGAGCGCCAGAGCCGATGACCATGTGGCCTGTTTGCAGAAAGTGTTTGACGTTGCCCGACAAAACAGATTAAGGTTTAATCCAGAGAAGTGTGTTTTTGGTACTGCAGGGGAAAAATTTCTAGGTTTCATGATCACGCAAAGGGGCATCGAAGTGAACCCGGACAAAATTTGGGCAATCCTAGAAATGAAAAGCCCCACCAGTAGAAAGGAGGTTCAGAGGCTGACGGGGCGAGTAGCGGCCTTAAATCGTTTCATGAGCCGGGCGGCGGACAAATGCTACCACTTCTTCAAAGCTATAGGGGGCTCCTCCAATTTTGAGTGGACTCAAGAATGCGAAGAGTCTCTTAGGAACTTGAAGCAGTCATTACAAGAGCCCCCGATCTTGACCAGCCCATCTCCTGGGAACGTGTTGTGTCTCTACTTGGCAGTATCACCAAAGGCAGTCAGTACGGTCCTGGTGAAAGAGTTCTCGAATGCGCAAAAACCAGTCTACTATGTGAGCCAAGTATTGAGGGGCACAGAGATAAGATACAGCCTGACTGAACAGCTGGTATTTGCATTAATTGTCGCGGTCAGGAAATTGAGGCCTTACTTTCAGTCTCACACGGTGCAAGTAATGACTGACCAACCTATCAAGCAGATTCTACATCAGCCCGAGACATCTGGGAGGTTGTTGAAATGGGCCATCGAGTTAAGTGAGTTTGATATCGAATTCAGGCCAAGGACAGCTATTAAGGCACAGGCTTTAGCAGACTTCATCGTCGAGCTCACCACCCCGCCCGAGCACCCACCAGGGGAACATGTAGATTGGAAAATTTTTGTTGATGGATCTTCAAATGACGAAGGATCCGGGACGGGAATCATAATGATAGGTCCGAATGAGGAAGAGTTGGAATACTCACTGCATTTTGAATTCCCTACTACAAATAACGAGGCCGAGTACAAAGCAGTAATTACGGGTTTGGGATTGGCAGGCAGACTCGGGGTGACCTCAGTGGAAATTTGCAGCGACTCTCAGTTGATAATCGGGCAAGTGACGGGGAAATTCGAAGCAAAGGACGGAAAGATGGTTGCATATTTAATGGAGGTCAAAAACTTGCAGAAGGGGTTCACCAAGTTTAAGATAACTAAGGTCCCTCGAAAGGACAATGAGCGAGCGGACGCGCTGGCTAAGCTCGCATCAGCCAACCCCAGACGACTGCCTCGCACAGCCAGTGTGCAAATTCTGCAACAACCTAGCATCCAACACGTAATCGATGTTATGAGTGTAGAGCATGAGGAAAGTTGGATAGACCCGTTGTTTGAATATCTCACAAAGAATAAATTGCCGGAGGATGCTCTCACAGCAAGAAGGCTAAAAGTTCAGGCAGCCTCATTTGCCATCATCGATGGGCTACTCTACAAGCGAGGCTTCACAATGCCATATTTGAAGTGTTTGCGACCAACAGAAGCACAGGAGGTGCTAATCGAAGTACATGCGAAAATTTGAGGCAACCACCAAGGGGCGAATACCCTTGCGTTCAAAACGCTTCGACAAGGATATTATTGGCCTAGTATGAAGGAAGATGCTAGAGAGTTGGTGAGAAAATGCGATGCATGCCAACGCCGTGGAAATCTGATCCACATTCTAGCCGAGTAACAGACGGCATTTTTCGGGGTGTCTCCCTTCTTCCAATGGGGGATGGACATCTTGGGACCTTTGCCCCTGTCAAAAGGACAAAGGAAGTTCTTGTTAGTTGTCGTCGACTACTTTACTAAGTGGGTGGAAGCTGAGCCCTTGGCCACCATCACGACTACAAAGATACAGGGATTCGTCTGGAAAAATATCATATGCAGGTTTGGTATACCCCGGGTAATCATTACAGATAATGGAAAACAATTCAATAATCACAGTTTTAGAGCCTTCTGTACAAGTTACCACATCGACCACAAGCTGACTTCAGTTGCTCACCCATAGGCAAATGGACAGGCTGAAGTGACCAACCGAACCATACTATGGGATTTGAAGACAAGGTTGGAAAAAGAAAAAGGACTTTGGGCTGAGGAGTTGCCCAATGTACTATGGGCATATCACACTACCTCCCAAGAATCAACCGGGGAGACACCATTCAAACTGGCCTTTGGGATGGAAGCCGTAGTTCCGGTTGAGATCTTAAGCGAGACAGGAAGGATGAAAGTCAAGCAACCCGACGACGCAGCGACTAGGGGAGAACTCGACCTCCTCGAAGGGGTAAGGGACAAGGCGGCGATAAGAATGATGGCTTATAAACGAAGAGCCGTTGAGTACTTCAACAGGAGAGCGAAGCCAAGGGTCTTCCAGCCAGGAGATCTCGTGCTAAGAGATGCAGCAGCGACAGGACACCCCCCACCAAAGCTTGGTCCAAACTGGGAAGGCCCGTACGAAGTAATCCGCAGGCTGGGAAAGGGAGCTTACAGATTGAAAGATATAAAAGGAAGGCCACTAGGTAGACCATGGAATGCAGAACACCTCAAAAAGTATTATCAGTAGAATTCGAAATGTACGCGCCGGCTGCGCTTTTGTAAATATAGTAGATTAGGTTGCATTGTTTATTTTCTCTATGTAATGCCTCACGAAGGCATCCTTAGTTGTAACAATTTATCTTATTCAATGAAAGACCTTGGCGGTGCAGACGATGAGGGCGCTACGGAAGGGCCAGCCTAGCTGGGACGTCCCGGTGTGCCTACTGAGCTCACATGACCAGGAATTTTTTATGCCAGCAGACAACTTTGAAATCCACGCCCATCCCACTAAGACATGATATCGACGTAGCCTACGCGGCTGGGTAGAGAGCCTTAGAAAGTCAAAAAATTGGCTAAGGCCCTTAACCACCAAATCACCCCATGCGGTCGACATAGCCTACGCGGCTAGGTGGAGAGTCTTGAAAAGTTAAAAAATTGGTTAAGGCCCTTAACCACCAAATCATCCCCTACGGTCGACATAGCCTACGTGGCTAGGTGGAGAGCCTTGAAAAGTCAAAAAATTGGATAGGGCCCTTAACCACCAAATCACCCCCTGCGGTCGACATAGCCTATGCGGCTAGGTTGAGAGCCTTGAAAAGTCAAAAAATTAGCTAAGGCCCTTAACCACCAAATGAGAGCCTTGAAAAGTCAAAAAATTAGCTAAGGCCCTTAACCACCAAATCACCCCCTGCGGTCGACGTAGCTTACGCGGTTAGGTGGAGAGCCTTGGAAAGTCAAAAAATTGGCTAAGGCCCTTAACCACTAAATCACCCCCCGCGGTCGATGTAGCCTACGCGGCTAGGTGGAGAGCCTTGAAAAGTCAAAAAATTGGCTAAGGCCCTTAACCACCAAATCACCCCCTACGGTCGACGTAGCCTGCGCGGCTAGGCGAAGAGCCTTGAAAAGTCAAAAAATTGGGTAAGGCCCTTAACCACCAAATCACCCCCTGCGATTGACATAGCCTGCGCGGCTAGGTGGAGAGCCTCGAAAAGTCAAAAAATTAGCTAAGGCCCTTAATTGCCAAATCCCCCCCTGCGGTCGACATAGCCTACGCGACTAGGCAGAGAGCCATAAAAAATATATATATATATATATATATATA